GAGCAGCGCCGTCCATGCCCTTAACACGAGCATCGATTTCCAGAAGGCGTGCAATTCGATGCGCAACAACCCGGAGGCCACTACGGCAGTGAAGACACACTTGATGAGTCTTGGCATGTGGATCGATGCGTTGCCCTCCGCCGTGAAAGTCGAGGAGGGCGAGTTGGCCGGTCCTAATCGCAGGAAGGTTGAGTTTGATCTGGAAGTGGAAATCCACACGAATTTTAAGCAATGGAGCTCGGTGCCGCCGAGGACCATCAAGATCATTCTGCATTGCCTCGAGCCGATCAGCTTGAACGAGCAGATGCTCAAGACTCTCTGTGGCACAGGGCAGAGAGAACCACCTCGCGATGAGCTCCTGAAGATCCTGGAGTTCGTCACTGGGACCGACCCCTCATCCGACGTCGGCGCCGAGCGGAAGTTGAAGGACATCGTGGAACGCATGAGTGCTCACAGCGAGCTCAAAGGTCGCAGGGGTAAGGAGCTTCAGCTGCCCGTCGATTGGTCCAAATATGGCGTCTACCTCCTGCTCGTGGTTGACGGCGCGGTGATGTTGAAAGGCATGGGCAAGACGGTCCAGATCTTCGATTCCTACTTGATGGGCGCCAAGCGCGACACCTTGTTCGTCGACATGAACTTCAGCGAGGCTCGCGCCCAGGTCAGGTCTACCGCAGTGACCGTGCTCCAGCTCTCGTGCATGATGCTGCTAGGCATTGGCATGGCAACCAAGATCGAGCAGGAGGACCAGCCGAAGCCGTCGCCGAACAAGTACTTGGACATGGTGGGTGCCAGCCGAATGCCTTCGTTCGTGGACGACTGCATCGATGATGAACCTCCGCGTAACAGCATGGCCCTGCCTGTTGGGCTCGCAGAGGACACCCAGGGCGCGCCGCGTGTCATGGTGAAGGCCGAGAACCCGGCAGCCTCGACGTCGGCTTCGGCGTCTGGCGGTGGAGCGCCGCCGATCAAGGCCCCTAGGGCAATTATGCAAATCGTGACCAATCTGGCCAGGAGGGGGAGGAGGAACAGGAGTAAGAGGGACGCGGGAGATGCGGCGGGGGAAGGAGGGGGAAAGGAACGACGGACCAGGATGAACACGCAGGAGGACAGAGAGGTGGAATGAAGCTTGGCGGGGGGAGAGTGGCGCGGAGGCGCCCACCCAGCACTGCGGACGAGGCTGCGGGGCAGGGCGGACGAATGTTGGGGGAGGGGGCGGCCGTGGCAGAAGGGGGGATTGAGGAGCGTTTTCTTTAGGCACTGGAGAGAATAAATCGCACCATTTCGGATGGCCTGGGCGCGCGATTGCAGCGCAGTTTTCGGCCAGCGTTCCAAAGTACGGCTACAAAATCAAGTGGGGCGGACAAAACCGCCCCCCCCTTTCCCCATCGCGCCATCTACGTTTGTTTCGGCCGGGCTCGAGGGGGGCCGTGTGCTCCGTATCCGCGCGCGGCGTGAAGACGACCAGGTGGGCCTGTGCTGGCCAACTTGCAATGAAACGGAAAGTGGCCGCCTGCCAAACACCCCAGGCCTCCGCGATCAGTTTCCCGCCCGCGTGCTACTCGCAGCGGCGCGGCCGAACTACAATCGATGAAATCGGAAATTGTCGTGGCGCTGGGCGGCGTGAAGTTGCTCAGTTATGTGTTTGTGATGGCTGGTTGCGCTAGTGGTTGGTATAGTAGTGTTGGTGTGCGCCGTCTTGTCGGATGGCGTCGCTGGTTGGTTTGGAGCGTTGAATTGGCTGCCGCGCTCAGGTTTTCGATTTCTTTTGATGCTGGTTTGATTTTGGCTCGATGGATCGTCGCGTGTGTTCCTGTGGTCTCCTGTTGTTGGATTGCTGTTTTGTTTGTCGATGCTTTTTCGGTCGTTGGTGTCGTCGTGATGGTTGGTGTCGTTGTGTAGCGTGGCTTCGTGGTGTCAGTGGGCGTCGCTTCGGTCGTTGCAGCCTTGTTGTCGTCCGTCGTTGCGCTTGTCGGTGACATGTTGTCGTGTGGTGTTATGTTGTTGATTGACGTCGGTTTGTTAATCTGTGTCGCTTTGCTGGGTCCGTGATGTTTGTTGGCGCAGTGCTATTGATTGTCGTCGATGCTTGTTGACGTTGCGCGGCTGTTGATGTGGTTCTCGTTTATTCGTGCCGTTCTGTAAGTTGGTGTCGCGTGTAGTTCCGTTGCGGCGCAGCGTTTGCCGTCGTTCGCCACGTTCGCATGTTCAATGAAGGCTTCGGGGGGGTTTCTCGCGCAAGGCATGGCCCCTTTGGGGGCGGAGCTCAAAAACGCCATTGCCCCTGACACAGGCGCAATGAAGCAAGGGCGGCAGTTGCGAGGGAAAAGGGAGCCACAATCGCAACGAACCACAATCCGACACCCGCCCTCCCAACGAGTCTGGGCCAGCCACATTGAAGCGCACATGAGGGCGCTGACGAAATATTCTTAGTTTAAAAAATCGCGGTGCAGCGGAGGCCAGGGCGGGGCGACAGGGTGGGTCGGGTGATTTCCAACGCAAGGGGGAGGGCAGTGAATCGCACGCATTCGTGTTGTGCGTTTTCCTGCGCGCGCGGCCGTGGCCCCAATCCCATCGCGACCAAGTCCGAAAACTATAAAACTATTCCGTCGGCCCCGCGCGGGCGGTTGGGGCCATCGGGCCCCTATCGGCGATCAATGGGCGATTGGGGGTCGATGCGCCCCCCCTCCATGGCTATCCCTTCCTATCATTGCCCCTGAGGAGCGCCCCAGGCTCGCCCTCGTCCAGCTGGCCCCCGCACTCCTGCACGCCCTGCTCACTCGGCGCTGCTCCTCCCCGTCCCTCCCCCACCACCTCATCCTCCCTCGCGCGTTTTGGGGGGGTCGCGCCCTGTGACGTCGGCAGCTTTGTGTTCTATCACTGCGCAGTCAACTGCCCGCCCCTTTCTCCCCCAACAGCTCTGAACGCTTCTCGTGCCCCCGCCAGCGTTTCAAGGAACGCAATCTAGGGGAGCTGCCCTTGTCGGGAGGGGCGTAGAATCATTCAGAGACACCGGGGGGCCTCAGTGAAGTATCGGCTTCTGGGATGCCCTTCGGAGGCGCCTGGGATGTGTCCTGGGGGCTCTTGGTGGCCTCTTGCGCGCCTTGGGGTTTCTTGGGAACTCCTGCGGGCCTCTGGGAGCGTCCTGGGGGCTCCTTGGGAGCCTCCTAGAGGCCTCTTGGCCGTGTCTTGGGAGCTCGTGGGGAGCCTCGGAGGCCTTCCTGGGGCAAGGTCGCGCCAGGCAAAGCAGAAGGGGCCACTGACAGCATCGCCCATGTGGAACCAAACAAATCACCTTTTGGCGCTCTCTTGGAACGCTCTGGGGGTGCTCTCGGGCGCTCTGTGGACTGCATTGGAACCGTTTGGGCCTATTATGCGGCGCTCTTAGGCCATCCCGGGGCATCTTTGAGACTTCGGAAGACCACCGGAAGCGGAAAGGCGATAAGGCAAACACACTCGCACACATTGTTTATTTCATGGTTGGGAAAGATTCTAGCCTCTAGAGGGCCTCCTTGGAGGGCGACGTTTTGGAACCTTACTTGGGCCCGTTTGGAGCGGCCTTCGGGCCTCTGGGAACTCCTTGCAAGCCAGCTCGCGCCAACCTCGGACAGCCGGACCGACCCTGGAGGCCATCCTGGCCTTTCTGAGGCCTTCTTGGAGCCATCTTCGGCCATCTTGGACGCTCTGAGTGCTTGCGATCCCCCTCCAGACCCTGGGGGGCGGGGTGGGGCGAGAGGCAAACCCCTCCCCGAAGGGGGAGTGTGCGGTTGGAAGAGAAAGCGCTCCAAGCCATCTACGCCCTGAAGGGCTGGTGGGATTGCCTAGCCGTGCGTCTGGAATCCCCGGGGCCCCTGGTAGAGCCCCGCGTGGTTTTTGTTTACGCGGTTGCCAGCCCGCCAACGAAAAAAACCATGTACTTTCGACCCCCTTCCCAGAGAGCAGGACCTCTTCATATACCTGTTTTACTGTGGACCTCCCGCGGACTGTCGCTTCAGCACGTTTCAGTCTGGCAATTATTGATGTCGCATTTTGTCTCAGGTTTCGGCTCCTCGTGACGTGCGCCATCTCGCAGTTCAGTCGCATAGGAGGTCCGAGCAGGACTTCGCGCCCCCCATTCCAGCCGTGGTCAAAGAGGAGCTTGATGGCGCGGAGAGCCGTCCTGCCTAAGTGACAGCAAAGCCTGTTTTTTTTTCCACGCGCTCAGTGCGAGCGCCTCTTTTGTGGGGCGCGCATGGGGCGACCGCCAAGAGTCGGGGCATGCGCAGCAGGCCGCGCTTCCATTCCTCTCGTAGCCCGGGGTGCTCTGCGAATGGGGGGGCCCTTGCTGCTTTTTGGCGGTGGCCATGCGACCAGTAGCAACGAAAAACGTCGTCCTGGTAGGCATCGTCGCGATCACGCGTCTGATCGACCATATTGTCATGGGTCTAGCAAGGTAGCCCACAGTACAGTGCTCGTGGGGCCCAGTGTATGTCGATGTGCTCTGTGGCCCGCTTGGTCTTTCGGCAGTGGCACCCTGGCACATGCGCAGTCGCGGCTCTCGAGTGCAGACTGAATCAGGATGGGGGCCGGAATTTGACCCCCCGACAATGTAGTTTCCCGAGCCCATGCGGAGCATCATCCTTGCAGTGCGCATGAGAAACACGTCGATCAGACATGTGACTCTCACTGTGTCCTCCCGCCTGCTTCCCTGGGCGATCACATTTGGCAGGCCTCTGCTGAGTATGGCCGTATTCCTGGCATGTGTGATGCTACTGCCAGTCAGCACTGGCTCGCAACCGTTGTGACTCAAGTCCGCCTGAAGGCCCAAAGGGGGCCGCAGCGTTTCAGCGTGCCGTGCATTCTTTAATTCGGCCGCGAAGCGCCGAGGAGTTCGACCACCTCCAGCACTGCAGCTGCCCCGATTCGTCGCCCCAGTCGGAGCATTTGTTGTCCACCACTGCGAGTCGACCTGCGTTCCGGCTACCCGCGCTATTGCAGCCGACACCACCGTGGCACCAGGACTGATGGCCATCATTGTGAGCTCGGAGGGGTCCTCGGATTGCGAAGCCCGTGAGCAGGAGCCGCTCTCTTACGTCCCATACTGGCTCGAGTGCAGCGTGCTCGACCGACACGAGGCGCACATTGATATGAAGTACAAGGCATACGTGTACGATGACGGCGGTGCTGCATGGAGTCTCCGAGGGATGTTCGAGCCTCTTGTGCCCGAGCGGGCAAGAAGAGTCAATGTGCACAGAGAGGTCAAACAGCAACGCCTGCCACTTGAAGTCTTCATGTACCAGCTCGGGATCGATTTCGACTCGGAGTATTTCCCGTCCATCCGCCAGGTGGTGGCGAAGGACGATGGAGGCGACAGCATTCGCTTTACAAACAGGGAAGAACCTACAGTGTCAACTCTCGGCTTCTTGATCTGGCAAGTCTGGTGGGCGACAGGCCGACGCAGGAAGGTTGAGCAGGGCCGGGCAGCGGACATGCTCGTCGGTTTCTTGGGCAGGTGCTGGAGAGGCAAACTCTTCGACGATGCTGTTGTGCGAGCTGTTTTGGACGGGGTGGGCCATGAGTGCCCTCGTCGTCGGCCTGACCGTTCTTGTGACCACCTCGCGCCGATCATCGCGAGCCGCGTCAACATTGGGCGCGTCACTTTGCATGGCCTTACAGAGTTGTTGGTCGCATTGGCTTCCCACTACTTGCACTGCCCTGCTGCTTCACGCGCTGTGAAGGCCATATGCCAGCACCTCGCCTCAACCATCAACGCAGCCTTGGGCGACATGGGCCTGGACACGGACAGGCTGAAACACGCGACCAGGGCGGATCGAACAGCACGGCGCCCACGAGCCGATGAGGATTACAAAAAGGCCTTGACAGAAAGAATTGCCAAAAAGAGGCGTTGCCACGGGAAGGCAGGTGTTGTGGACTTGGCAGGCTTCGGAGCGTCGGCACCAAAGCATTGGGATCACCAGGAGATGATGGCCTACCAGAAGGCCGCCTACAGGACCCTCGGCGTAGCCAGCGGGGTGTTTTGTCTCCAGGGCGACGGCGCGCGGCTTGGGCAGCCGGCCAAGGAACATCTGCACATGGTGCTCCAGCACAACTCTTCGGACCTCGCGTGTGTATTACCTCCGCAGGACGGCGCGCCCCGGGAGTCAACGGGTTACTTTTTACGTGTTTTGTGTACTCCCGCCGGCCCCCTTGCCCCGGGCATTCATGCGCCCGTCCTTGCCACCGTTTTCGCCCCGCGCCCTTCTTTCTGCTGCAGCTGCCCCCCCTTCTGGGCGCGATCGGCGCCTGCTTGAGGACATGATAGGGTCGCCCTTAGGGGCCCACCTCGTCTTGTCGGCCCGCTACGCTCTGAGGGGGGTCCCCCCGCGCTCTCCTCCTCCTCTTCCTTCTCTTCCTCCTTCCTTCGTATTCTCCTCCTCCTCCTCCTCCTCCTCTTCCTTCCGTTCTGTTGACCGTCCATACCCTTGACCGGCCTACCCCTAGGCTTACACCTAGGGTTTCCCCTAGGGCTCACCCCCGGGCATACCCCTCGAGGCCTACCCCTAGGGTCTACCCCCAGGCCTACCTCTAGGGCCTACCCCCAGGCGTTAAGCGGACAGGAATGTTTTTTATGCCCACGGCCCAGGGGTAGGCCCTAGGGGTAGGGCTTCCCCCCAGGGCCTACCCTTCGCATTTGAATACCCTTCGGGTCGCATCCTCTTCCTTTTTGCCCTTGCTCGACGAGTTCGGGTGGCAAGGTTTTGCGGATCGTGGCCTTGGGCGCGTGCGTCTGGTGCAGTTTGCATTGTGGGTTCGGGAGCGCGGGTCTGCTTTCGCGCGCGTTGGCGTTGCGACCTGGGGGCGGGGCGCCACCCCGCCGAATCTTTGAAAGAACCGGGTCGATGGAACGGCGGGCTTGTGTCAATGCATTTGGGGCCGTGCCCCCTGAAACACATATCCCCTGCCTGTGCGACGACGTCGCGGCCTCCAGGGCCAACGTCCAGCGCGCTGCACAATGGTTCCGAGCCCTGGGAGAGCTTGCGGAGGTTGTTGTGGCCGTGACCTATTCTTAAAAACATTAAGAATATGTCAGTGGCCCTTTTGGCGGCGCGACATATTCTACAAAAGTAAGAATATGCCAGTGGCCCCTAGAGCGTGCGGGGTCTGTTGTGACATGTTCTTTAAAAATTTGGAACATGTCAGTGGCCCTTTGGCAACGCAACATATTCTTTCAACATAAGAATATGTCAGTGGCCCCTGGAGCTTGCGGGGGCTGCTGTGACCTATTCTTAAAAAATTAAGAATATGTCAGTGGCCCCTTTGGCGGCGTGGCCGTTTGCGCTGGTGATTGCGCTGCTGCATGAGCTGACAGATCGCCCCTGGACGGCGAATATTTTTAGGGTCGCCGTCCTGAAGGGTGGGCCCGCTGTCATTCACGATGGGTCGTGGCCTCGGGATTGCGAGCTTTCGTAGTGTAGAGGGAACCGTGATTCTGTGAGCCCGGACGGGGTGCAATTTCCAAAACGTGGTGACGTTGGGGTTGCGGATTCCGCGTAGTGCGCAAGAGATGTGACTGTGGGAGCGCGGATCCGGCGCATTTGTTCCAGGGGTCGTCGCTCTGGGAGCGCGGCCTTCTGTAAATTTCGAAGGGTCGTGGGCCTGGGAGCGCAGAGCTTGTTTAAGTTGCAATGTGTCGTGACCGTGAGCGCGTGCACGATTAACTTGCGATGGGTAGTATCCTTCAGGGTGTGTGGGGGCCCTTTCTAATTTACATGGGCCACGGGGCCCAGAGATCGCAGCGGACTTCCCAGAGACCGATGATAGGGGAACATGGGGTGCCACGGGGGACGGGTCCACAGGAGGAGCATGATCAAGTATTTCAAACAATTATCGGCGCCCCCATGTCAGCACTGACGCCGACCAGATCTGACAACTCACTGCGTGGAGGGCCCACTTGGCGGCTGGCGGAAATATTGCCGCGCACCCATCCCACCGGAGTCGGCGTTGCGCGCGTCCATTTGGGTTTGGCGGTGTCCGCAAGACCTCGGCGAAAAAATACAAGCAATTGTGATGTCTTTAGCTGGGGGGTCGGGCCAGGGTTCAGTTTCAGCTCGGTCCACGTTCGCCGCGTCAGAAGTGAGGGTCAAAGGCCCTCCAAATTCTTAGTCACCCTGACCCCGACAGCCACGCGCATGTGTCCAATCGTAGGCAAGGCCGCGGTAGAGGTGCAATAGTATATTATTGAAACTCAATGGTTCGTTCCTGTATTGTTTCTTTACTATTGTGTTCCAATAATAAAAGAGTTACGGTTTGACCTCGCACCCGCGCAACCGCTAACGAGTGACGCGGTCACGTAGCCTCCCGTGTTCTCGCGCCGGGTTCTGAGTTTTGCGAGTGACGTACGCTTGCATCAAGTGCGTACTATAATGTAGGCATGCTCTGTGGTGTCTTGGCGCAGTTGGGGTTCGACGAAGGTCGATTTCAGTGTGGTCTTAGGTCGGTATCAGGATTGAGCAGGAGAAGCGAGGGTGCGTTTTTTAGTTTACCGTGGGCTCCCTTCCAAGCTCCCCGCTGTCGACGTTTGATCGCTGGGGCGGTTGTCTCGGCGCGCCCAGCTTGTGTATATGGAGTGTTTGTTCGGCGCGGGCCTCATCTAGCCAGAGCGCCCTCGTCGTATATGTAGTGCCCTTCGGCCCGTCACGCTGCCGTGTTTTTGTCGTTCAGCAGGGGCCTCTTGAAGGCCGAATGGGGTCTCTTCGAGGGCTTCTGGGGACCTCCTGACAGATTCGTCGGGTCCTCTTGGGGGCATTTCGGATGCTTCTCGGGTGCCTCTCGGGGGGGGCTTGTTGGGGGCCTCGAGGGTGCTGTTGGGCGCCTTTCAGGGAGTCTGGCGGCGGTCTGGGGTGCCATTTCGGGGCGGAGGGCCGCAGAGGCTCTGGCGCATTCACCTTTTTTGGCACGACGTGGGTTGTTGTTCGAGGGCCTCTGGGGCCCCTCTTGGGGCTCAGAGGGCCGACCACTGGCGAGTTCAGGGGCCTGTCGGGCAGTTTTGGATGCTCGCGAAACCGAAAAAAGCAAGTCGATGAAACACTTCCTGAAACCGTTCAAGGGGGTGTAACCACTCTGGCATCGAAGGTCGGACCTCGCGGGGTCCAAGAAGGCGCAAGTGCCACCTGTTGGATCCCCGGGGCGGCCCCACGAGGCATCCCCGATCATGTCGGAGGGTTGGTCACCGAGCCACGATCCCGAGGCCGCGGGACATCCGCGACCTTGGTCTTTGCCGCGCCCAGGAACGCCTAGACTCCTGCGAAAGGGGGGCATGAGCCTTCGACATAGTTCTTACGATTGTCAAGGCAGACAGCTCGAGAGAACATGAGCTCGCACCAATTGGTGCCTCGGGAGGCCGTGGCGTCTTTTGCGCCAGAGGGGGGGTCATAATTAGAGCCAAGAGTTTCTATTCGGTAGGGGCCGTGTGCGAGGTACTTTGACGTCTGTACCTCTCCACCCTTGTTCGCTCGCGGTTCCCCCTACTCCCCGCCCAGGCTGCTCCAGATTGGAGGGGCCAGGGGGTGCTGCGCGGCAAGATGACCACATTGCAGAAACAGCTGTGGATCCGGCGCTGCCACGATTTCCTCCATGCCAAGAGGAAGCAGGACATGGAGGGTAAGGCTTCTCTTCAAAAGGATCGGGTGGCGAATGCGCATTACCTCGAGCTCGTGGACCACGGCTTGCAGGCTGGCGTTGGTTTCGGGCTGAGTAAGTTTAAAGTTGACGGGCTGGCTGCACGGGCTTTGCTTCGCAGCGAGATGCGGTATTTCATTGATATCCTCTGCTTGCCAGCCCACATGCAGGCGAGCGCGCACGGCAGAACCCGCCGGAGCTGCATTGTTGATCGCTCCACGCAGGCCACGCGCCTAGAGGTGTGCTGGGACATCGAGAAGCCCGTGCTCATTTCCTTCCTGGACCAGGGTTCTGTCGGCTGGAACTGCAATCATTGGCTGTTCACTGGGCGGTGCAGGGGATGGGCCTTTTGCGATCCATCGCACAGGCGTCATGACAGCTGCATGAACGCTGTTGAAGAAGCAGGCTTAAGTTTCGTCAAGTACGAGGCCCTACTGATCGAGAATTTGGGCAAGGGGCCGTGGAAACAACAATCCAACTTTGGGAAATTTTCCGAGGCAGCGGCCGAGTATTTCAATAACGTGGACGAGTCCGATGAGTTATTCTTGGCAGTTTTGCCGTGGATGGCCTTTCGGTTCTACGAGGGTGAGTCGGGCCAGTCTTTCGATGGCGACTTCGCCAAGTGGATGTGGAAGAAAGCCAAAACGTGCGAGCTCTTCCAAAACTCGGGGGCGTCATCCAGGAAAAACAGGTGGTTCCAGTGGACGCGCCGCTGGCGCGACATCTCAAACAACGTCGGGTTCTTACTCGTTGCCTTGCTCTACGAGGGCCTCAACCTGGGATGGTGGGCGACCCTGGGAGATTCGCCCTTCAAGAGGCTGGCGGGGCCTAGGCCAGAAGACCACGGGGGGAGCGCTGGGGCGCCAGGCAACGCTGGAGGACCGTTGGCAGATGCAGCGGGAACAGCCGTTGCGCCCGCGGCAGCTGCTGGCTCGGGCGGCGGCCCCCACGTTGGCCACGGCGCGGGGCTTGACCCAGGTGAGCTCGAGGCCGACAGATCGAGAGGCGTGGCTGCTTCCAACGCGGGTTTGGACAGGTGGGCTAACAGGAGGAATGCGCAGCAAGTGGCGGCGGACATCCTGTGCAACCCACCTGTTTTGACACTAGCTGACATGGTATCTTTCCTGTCCGAGCCGATTGACGATGAGAGCGGCGTGACCTTGACGATGCTCAAAACTCGCAGGGGTTCCAGGGCAGCCAAACGGGGACCATAGCTTAACCTGCGAATCTCTAGTGCAGGTTTGGATGTCGATTGGGAGCTTGGAGTAGACTTGTTTTATTTTGTGTTGAAGGTAGGACGAAGTAGTGAGATGCGTCCGTGCGTCGCCCAGCGTTGCTGGGAGGGCGCGTCTGTCGACCCGCGCCGAACCTGCCCCCCAAAGAGTTCGTTTCGGGGCACGTCGGCGCGTCATCGTGGATGGGGGGGTCCGCAGCGCACTGCGCCACCGAATCAGCCCCGTAGCGCGGGGATGCCGGCGCAACCGTGTGGCGGCGTGGGGGGGGAGGGGGGGGGAATTCGTTGCTGGGAGTGCCCGCGCATGCGTCGTTCAGATGGGGCTGGCCTTCCGGGTGCCGCGCGCTCCGCGCTAGCCGTATTGGTTGGCTTGTGGGGCGCGACGTTCCTCCATTCTTACCATCCCCGCGTGATCGCGGATTGGGTCGGTTGGGTCCTTGTTGGCTTCGTCAGGTTTCAGTGGGTGGGAGAATTCGAGTGGACGGGGCCCGCTGACTCGCTGGCGACATCCATGTTGGATGGTGCGCGCTAGGTGCGGGGGCTCTTAGAGCGGGGGCAACGCGTGGTGCAACGACACGACAGAACACACACACACACACAGTGCGAAAGGGCAAGCATCGCACGTGCATTGACAAACTCGGCGGCGAGGGGGGGGACGCAGAGAACGCATGAAACGGAACGCGTCATGGACCGCATCGCGCACACATTGAGGGAAAGGGGTCGCTGAGGAGTAAGCATGCGTGGCGTTCGGTGCCCCCCCCCCCCCAGAACGAAACGAACAACACGGCGCACAAAGTCACGCATCGCGCGCACTTCCCGAGGGAAATAATATAGAGGGAGGCAGGGGGACGTAGCGCGCAGTGCTGCCCATGGCGGAGCAGGACCCGCACTGCGTGCGTACACGACACTCATGGGGAAGGGTAGTTAGGCGGGGCATGGTGCATCAGTATGCAGTGCCACGTTGGGCGCGACATGGTCGACCAGTCGATTGGTCCCTAGCGCGCAATGTGCGTTCGCACGGCCCTGGGGGCACTCTGGCGGTTTCAAGCTCAGTCAGATTCACCGCGCGCCGCCAAATCTTATGGCCCCCAACCCCGACCAATCCCGACGGAACCACTGGACTCGGGATGGGTCTGTTTCGTTACGTTGGGACCCTCGGAAACCATTCCTGGCGGAATGTAGCGCGGCACCTTGGCCCTTTCCTCATCGGAGAAGCTTCCGGCACCTTTGAATCCTTCCTCGGCGGGGGCATTTTGCGGGGGGATCGGTGGCAACGTTGCGTGGTGGTCGTTTGCTGGAGCACTTCGCGCTGTAACCCACTTTTTGTTTTAATGCTTCGCGCGCCCCCGCCAGCCCGTCCAGAACGGATGCTTACGGCAGTTGCCCTTTTATCAGGGGAGCGTGGTACCGTTTGGACACTTCGTGGAGCATCAGTGAGGTAGAGGTCTCATGGATGCCTCTGGGGGTCTTTTGGGATGTCCCCTCAGGGGCTCCTGGTGGCCTCACAAAACGGTTTTGGGGCCTTGGGGGGGGTCTTTGGGGTCTCGTGGGGCGTCGTGGGGGCCTTTGGGGAGCTTTGGGGGGGAACTCTGAAGGTCCTCTCGGGGCCTTTTTGGGGCCCTCATGGGGTCGTTGCCGGCCTGTCGGGGCCATCCTCGAGGACATCGATCAAAAAAGGAGGAGGCCTTACAACGTCGCTTTTGTGTATATTTTATAATCTCGCCTCCTGGGGCGCTCTTGGAGTGTTCCCGTGCGCTTTCGGGGTCGTCTCGGAGCCCTCTCGGACCCCTCGCGGGTCTCTCCTGTGCCCTTCTGGCGCCACCCTGCGGCTCCAGAAGGCGATCGGAAACGAACAGGTCACGCGGCAAATGTCACCAATGTTCCTCCGTTAAGTGTAGTGGTTCTAGGCTCTTGGGGGCATCCTTAGAATGGGCCCGTTGCCGTTGGGACCTGTCGTGGAGTGGTCATGGGGCCCTTTGGAAGCACATCGGAGGCCATCTTAATTAAGGCGTGTCGAATATTTGAAGCAATGCTGGAGGCTATCTTGGGCTATCTTGGGCCTTGTTTGGGCCATCTTGGGTCATCTTGGGCGCCCCAGCCGCTCGGGGCCCCTCCCCCCCAGATCCGGGGAGACAGGGCAGGGGCAGAGGTGGGCCTCTCCCCGAAGGGGAAGAAGGAGGCTGGACGAAGAAACGCCCTAAACCACGTACTCCCTCAAGGGCTCGTGGGATTCCTCTCCTCCTCCTGCTCTCGCCTCCCGTCCTCATGAACCTCCATTCACCCCCCCTCCCTGTCATCCTCCCGCTCGCGTCGGCGCATTATTTTTAGGCGTCTTGTATATGGCAGGCCATCGCAATGAGCGCGTGTAGGTCTGGTTGTGAGCGTTCCCCGGCGGCTGCCTTGATTCCCAGGTTGTCTGGAGTGGCACGCCCGCATGGCCTCGAATAGGGTCGACCACTTGTTCCAAGTCTGGGCTAGGGTTGGTGATCCGAAGTTGCTCGCGAAGCTTGGCGTCACTAGCGCAGCGGGTCCTGCTGCATCAGAGAGGAGGTACATCCTTCAGAGCATGTGGGATTTGACAAGGGCCATGATCGGCAACGAACTCGAGTACATTGGCACGTTTTCGCAATGGCTTCCGGGGAAGTTTGCAGGCTTGATCTCCCATGACCTTGCGGTGAAGGGCGAGGCGATTGAGTTCTGCAAGAAATCATTCCTCGCCTTGGAGGTTGCTGAACACGCTGCGTTCGACGAGCCAGCTCTCCAGCAGTGGTTGCGCCAGCTGGTGTGGGTCAAGCAGCCGTGGGTACGCGAGGTATTAGTGTCTCTGGCTGAGACAAACTGGACCGATGTCCCCAGCGACGTCGAGGAACAACTGATGTCTGTATTTTCAGGGCCTGGTGGGACCAAAGACGTGGAAGATATATTCAACGTGGTGAGGAGGTGCACTGCAAAGACTTCGACTGGAGGCTTGAGGTCTGCAACGCAGTGGTATCGCGCCAGTCACGCCCAGGTCCTGGAGGAAACAGGGAAGAAACAGCCAGAGGTGAAACCGATTGACAGAATAAGAAACTCTGGAAAACTCCCGGCCAGCATGTTCAAGGGTTCGGCCTGCGAGTTCTCTCTCGAAGATGCCGCGCTTTCCGAATACAAGGAAGGCAAATGGGGGCCAGCCCCCAGCCCCCAAAATTGGTTGTTAGTGCCTTTGGCGCACCACGCCTTACTGTGGGCAGAAGGCGATGCAACCAAACTGTTGAATACTTGGCTGAGTTGCTTGGCTGTCAAAGGGACTGTCCTGTGCAAGTGGGGCGACCCTTTGGGCGACGAGGCTTTGCTCGTGATGAAGGTTGGCCCTCACGGTGCGTACTGTTGGAAAGCCTCGGCGCGCTCCGTGGATGGAGAAACGTTTCTGACTCCGAAACTTCATCCGGACGCAGTCGAAATCGTGCATATCCATTCGCTGACCACTTGGGCTGTTTTCACGGTGGGTCCCGTCACCGCCAGTGACATGTTAGTTCGTTTCGGGGGCCAGGTGTTCGCTCTAGGTATTTCCAAAGCGCTGCTCAGGGTCAAGGATGAGAAGCCCTGGACAGTGCTGGAGGCATCCGCAATTGATGGATTTCGAAGTTTGACGACTGAACACATGTCAAAGCTGTGTCGGCATCTCGGTATTAGGAATGACAGCGGCTCCATGCCAACCACCGAGGCGGAGTTGGCGAAGCTTCTGGTGAGGCGCGTGCTGCACTGGCTTGATGACAGCGAAGTAGAGGATATCCTCAGCCAGAGGAAGAAAACATAAAAAAACGTCGTTCGCGTCCACTCTAAGCGAGGGCGACAAGAAGGCTTTGGATGAGGTTTTGCAGGCCGACGAAGTGGCCGAGGTAGAAAAGGATGTTTTCGAGCCGAAACGCAGGGCGGCAACTAGAGCAAAGCCTCCAGCGGGGCCATCGGGAAATCCTCCTCCACCAGCGCCCCCAGCGCCACCACCAGGAGCTGGAGGAGTCGGCGGCGGTGGTGGCGATGGACCTGTGGCTGGTCATGGGCCTGCTCTGGCGCATCGCATTTTGCGGCCGATTGTCGGGGAAGAGTGGACTGCTGCTGAAGCTCGTGTTTTTTGCCCTCGGGCGCCAGGTGTGACAATCTCCATTCACACATTGCGGAGCTGGCAAATCAAATGCCCAGGCAGGGTTACAGAGGGGCCCAAGAGTCATTCAAAGACGTGGACCGAGATTTTGACCCACAGGGAAGCACTGATGACGGTGCTGCGGTGGGCATGGGATCGCCACGAAGAGGCGGTTCCAGAGGAGATGTGCCCTTGGGAATTGGGGTAGTCTTTCCCAAACGGCAACCTAGTGTCTGGCCACTGAGAGCATGAACGGTCGCATTTTCTGCGCGTGTGCTTGACAGTTGTTGCCTTTTTCGGCGCGCGCCCTGGCATGCGGGGTTGCGCAGGCGCGCGCTGCCAAAAAATAGTCCTTGGGCAAGGGATTCCAATCGCACGTCTATCGCGCCACGCAAAATAGCAAAGCAAAGTTGCATGCTACATTGCGTCTTGCATTAGAAGGCCAGCGGCCATTGCCGCCGCCCCCCCCTTGCACGATGTGCCGGCGGCCCCCTCGTCGCCGTGGCCGTCCTCATCCTCATCCCTCTCCTGTGGTTTCTCCTCCTTGTCCAGAGTGGTATTCGCGCTATTTTGACGCCACCAAAAGTTCGTATTGGGGAAACCATTTTTTTCGGTGGCCCTTGTTGATTCCTTGGGAGTTCCATGTTTTCGTTCCCAGTTCCATTGGGGCAATATCCTTGCTTCTTTCGTTGCTTCTGCGGGGCGTGGAGCCTTCTCAGCCTTCTCATAACGACCATGAAGCACCGGCCTCTCTTCGGAACGCTTCTGCGGTTTACAAGGAATCTGTCGCCATGCAGTTTTTGCCGACGGGGTCCGTAGTTTGAAAGCGACCTTGGACCTGGGAGCGCGGACACATTGTAACGGTGCGATCGTGGCCATGGGAGCTAGTATGCTACGTCGCGTGCTCGGGTCTGTGGTCCCGAAAGGGCGGGGCCATGTTATTTTGCGGTGGATCGTGGCTCCCGGGTTCTGGATGTTCCTTGCAATGCCCCAAGGAGTCGCGGCGCTCGGAACGGGGGCGCAGCGTCATTCATAACGGATGGAGGCCCTGAAGGCACGGGCCCAGTGTAGTTTGCAATGGTTCGTGGCCCTGCCGGGCGGATTTTTGTAAATCGGGAAAGCGTGGCCCGTGGGATGTGGACATGGCGCAATTCGCGCGGGGGCAGTGCATGGGAGAAGCGGGCCCTTGTATAACGGATTTTAGGATCACGTCCGTTTGGGTGGAGATTCGCTGCGATTTTTAAGTGGCGTCAACCCTTGGAGCGCAGATCGGGCGTCATGCGCGAGGGGCCGCTGCGCTGGGGGCGCAGGTCCAGCCTGATTTGAAAACCCACTTTGGCCCTGGAAGCGCATGTCGGCAATCATGCACAAGGAGCCACGCCCCTGTCAGCGCGGACCCGTGGTCATTTGCGACGGGCCGTGGCCGTGTAAAATTTGATAATATGTATAATGCTCGAAAGGTTGCGGCCCTGGGAGCGCGGGTCCACCGTGATTCACCAGGGACCTTGACCTCTGGAGCGCGGACCTCGCGCGATGCATGAGAGGTCGTTGCGTTGGGAGCGCCTGTTTTTGTTATTCTGTACGGAGGGGGCTGGGCCATGGCAGCGCGGATTAATTTACAAGCCATCGCGCCCTTGGGGTTGCGTGGCCCATGTGATTTACGAGGGGCCATGATCTTGGAAAGGGGAGGCCCATCGCACTCCGCGATGAGCCGTGTCGCTGGGGCCGCGGACTCGTTGATGAAATTCGCAGGGCCGTGGCCTCTGGAACGTGGGCCCAGCGCATGTTAAACGGGATGATGGCCCTGGGAGTGCGGGCCCACACGTAATTTGCAAGGGGTCAAGGCTACGGGAGCGCGAGCCCAGCGTAATTTGCGAGGAGTAGTTGCCCAGGGAGCGCGGAATCCTTTTTGTAATTTGCGGACCGCGGCCTTGGAAACGCATGCATGGCGCCTTGCGCGATCGAACGTGGACTGGGGAACGAATGTGTTGAAGCAAATTGCATGGGTTTTCGTCTAGGGGACAATGGTTGCTTCGAAATTGCAAAGGGTCGCGGGGGGCCAGCGGTGGTGGCGAATCCCCCACAGGGCGGTGCTAGGGGGGGGCAGGCGGCCGGGGGGGAGACTTACGGAGTGAGGCAGTCGGGATTGAGGCATTCAATCTTTTGCGCCACCGCAACAACAGTCAAGCCAACCAAACGCGACGGCCCACAGCTTGGAGACCCCACAAGGGGGCTGGCGGATATATGTTTGGCCACCTTCTGGGATGTGGGTTGAAGCCGGCTTTAGGGTTGCAAGCGGGGGGTGCGGCGGGGCCAGAGTAGGCCCGACCCCCAGGAAACATCCCATGTGAAACCGCACGCGCCCTAAACAAATACCGAGGAAGATGAGGAAAGGGAGGAGGAGGCCAACCTTGAGATGCGCGGCCAACTAAGGGGAAGTCTGATAGCGCGCCTTCTGTTTCGTGTTTTCGCCAGTGCAGTGGTGGCGATCGTTCAGACGGTTCTCGATGCTGGCGGGTGGAGGCCAGGCGCATGGATTTTCCGCGGCTGAGAGTATTCCCCGTTTGGTATTTGTCTTGGACATCGGCAGTAGCAGGAATAGTGGCGACAGTCGCAGCCGTCGTTGTAGCCGCGAGCATGTCGACACAGGCCAAGTTGTGTGTCGATCCGATGCCATGCCACACTTTGCTGCCAAGCAGCCACATGTATGTAACCACGTGAGTGCACATGTATGGGGTACGTGTGATATATGTAGACGGGTAAATTGGGCAACCAAGCGGTCGTGTCCGCACGGGCGTTGGCACAACGACGAACGAAGCGTTTGCGCGCGCGTGTGTGTGCGGCAGTCTTCTCGTGCGCATGCATGTCTCCGCGAGTGCGCGTATTCGCTTGCGTGCGCGCGTCCCCGCTGAATCCGTGATGTTAGTTGCTGGCGCGATTGTCGTCGTGTTTGAATCTCTCCGTATTGTCGGACCTGGCTGTATGTTGCCCGTCGCCTTTGGTGATGCAGCATTGTTGCTCCCGCGCGTACGTGGAAGCATATAGAACACATGTTATCATATATCGTACCTCGTTCGCTAAAGTGGCTCCCCGAGTCGAGCGCAAGAGCTGCGCGTGCGATGGTCTTTGCGTGGCCAAGGCGCCACGGACTTCGTGGCAACATAAGATCGGCACAAGCTTCATACCAACCGTATGTACCATTGGTAGAACGCTCGGCCCCCCTCGCCCTCCACCCCCAACTTCGCCGTTTAAAGACCCCCCGCCGGATGTCGCGGCGCGCGGCCAGGTTGCAGGCTGGGGAAAACCAAGCCAGCGAAACTGGCCTCAGCATGCCGCGGCACGCTGGTGGCTTGTTTGACGGCACAAGCCTAAGCCGGGTGGAATTTCTGCCTCAACCTGCAGGCCGGCTGAAAATGCTCAGCCCTCCAGCTGCCTCCTCCTCCTCCACCTCCTCCAAATCCCCGCCGCCTCGCCCTCCTCCTCTTCCTCCTCCTCCCCAGGCGCCCAAGTTGACCGCCTCGCCCTCCTCCTCCTCCTCCTCTTCCTCCTCCTCCTCTCACTGCCACTGCCTTTACCTCTCTGCCTGTTCAGGCATTTTCCTCCATCCTCATCATCTGCCACGTTCCGCCAAGGCTGGGCCTGCCTCCGCGGTAGCGGTCCTCGACGAGGCTCTGGCGCACGCCAGCCATGTACTCGAGCTGCTTCCGCCATGCCCGGCGGGCGTCTGCGCCCTGGAGCGCCTCCTCCGGCCATCCCATCCGTCTGGCCAGCGCGCTCCGCGGCGTGGCAATACCTCTCCTCCTGCCGGCCCACCTGTCGCAGCGCCACCAATGGTGGACCACGTCTGGCACCTCGCCGCTCGGGCAATCGCTGCACGGGCGCGGCTCTCTGCCCATCGCCACATCCAGCCTGGCATCGCTCCACATGGCCCCGGTGAGCACGGCCAGCGCATGGCTGCCAAGCGCGCCTGACTGCAGCACTTCCGTCGCGACGTGGAAGGCTCTTTCATCGAAGGCGACGCCTTCCTCCACAGCTAATCTGCTGTCACGTCTCGTCGCCCCTTGGGCCTTGAAGGCGTCCCAGCGCTCCTGCCGCCAGGCCTCGCGGAGCACGTGCGCCGCTCTGCCCCTGCGGTCGTCGATGCGCAAGTGCCTGTCGCCATGCTTCCAATCGCCCGTGTGGGTGTCCCTGTGGAACCCCATTGCCTCTAGGTGTCGCTGCAGGCAGCGCGTCGGGCCGCAACTGTCCGTCACCTCCACCAGCCTCTGCCATGCCAGCTCCTCCTCCGTGCCCTGCCTCCTCCTCCTGGCCTGGTGGAAGGCCCAACATCTGTCCGCCAGGTGGTACCGCAGGTCGCCGTAGTGGCCCACCGCTAGGAGATGCAGGAGCTCCACCGAAGCAGAGGGCCACCTCCTGCCGCACACTGCTCTCCTCACCTCCCGTCGCACCTCCATCAGTTGCGCCTCCTGCGGCAGGGCCGTGACGAGCCCCCACGCCATCAGGGGCATGGCTGCCGTCGCCACCGCGCGCCTCCTTGCCCGCCAGCCCAGCGGTAGCTTGGCAATCCTCTGCAGCCTCTCAATGCCTGCCTTGAGTTTCCCCATCTCCCTGGGCGTTAGCTCCCTTTCGTCGAAGGAGAAGTCGACACCGAGAACCTTGAAGCTGCTTCCGGCGCCTCCCCCTGTCCCTGTTCCCCCTCGTCCTCCTCCTCTACCTCCTCTGCCTCGCCGCCCAGCTCTTCCTTGCGAAGCGCCGGTACGCCCTCGGCTTCCACCTCTGTCGGCGCCGCGGTCCTCGCCGGCGTCGCGCACGTCCGCGGAGACGACGAACCGCTGGGTCTTGCCCGGGTGCGTCCGCAGCGCCGTAAGCTGCTCCAGCTCCCCCCAATGCCGTTCCACCTCCTGCATGTCCTCCAGGCTCCTCGTGCAGGCCGTGCGGTCGTCGGCGTACACGCAGCACGTGGCCGTCGCCACCCTCCGTTTCATGCGGCGCGTCGGCGGCATGAGCACGGTGGCCATGCCAAGCATGCTGGCAGGGTCTCCTTGCGGCAACGACCGTGAAACCGCGATGGGCTCACTAGCGACCAGGCCGGCACTCTCAATCCACCGCTCCTGGTTGCACCATATGTCCACGATGCCATCCACGATGCCATGGGGCACACCACACTCTTTCCAGATGCGTCCTACAATCACTGGATCCGTCCTGTCGAAGGCGCTCTCGAAGTCCCAGGAGGAGCCGTAGAGGGCGCCCTTCTTGCTGTCCACTCTCTGCTTGTCGTCTTCGCTCAGGAGGTCGTACGCAGGGGTGCCCGCGATCCTGTTGGCGACCATCGTTTGTTCGACCTCCGTCAGCGTGCCCTCCAGGAGCCCCTCGAGCGTTCTCTGGCGCAGGCCGCCAGCTTGGTCCGCCTCGAAAGCCGGCTCCAGGAACTCTGCGATCTGCTCTGCTCGGTGTTTGTGCCACATTCTTACCACCGTGCTGGCGATGGCGATGGGCCTCATGCGGTCCACTTTCGGGATGCTGTCGCTCTCCTTCGGGATGTGGGTCTGCCTCCACCTCTTGAGGCTCGGGGGCCAGCCTCCCGCCTCGAAGCCAAGGCACAGATCCACCAGGTCATCGTAAGCAAGGTCTGGCAGGAGGAGCAGCTCGCTCGCTAACCACTGGTCTTGGCCAGCCGCGGTGCCTGCCATCGTCCTCAAAAGCCGCCGCACGCTGCCTGCTGATGGGGCTCCCCAGCGCAAATCACTGTGGCCGAGCATTGCGTAGATGTGCTGACGATGGCGATCCTCCTGCGCCACCGCCTGCTGGATTTTCTCCTTCGCCTCCTCCACCTCCTCTGCGTAGTGCAGCATGTACTCCTCGGGCTGGTTCCCAGACCCTGCGCTACTGAAGTGGCCGTGATAAAAACTACGGAGTTTCTCCACCGCAGCTTGCCCCGAACACTGTCTCTGCTCGGTCGCGTCGTACACGGCGGCTCCACAGCTCTGCGCCGGATTCCTGATCCATTTGTACGTCCGCTTCCGCATGTTGTCCTCACGTATACTCTCGCGCCACACTTTGATCCTTTCGTCCCTGCTGACCTCCACTGCTTCCCGCAGTTTCCTGTGCAGGTCCTGTGCGTCATCTGGTCCAACGGCCCGCGGCAGCCCAAGTTTCCGCCGAAGGTACGCCCTCTTTCGCGATAGCGCCTGGGTCGCTCCGTCACGCACACGCGGCCCCCTTCGCTCCTGCACGGCTTCCGACACGGCGATGAGTTCCCTCAGCTGCCTCTCGCGCCGCGCCTGCACGGAGCCCGCCTCTTGGCTCTCCGGGCGCTGCCAGTGCACCAGGTGTCGGTCTCCCTTGTAGCCCGTTCCTTCAGTAAGGACCTTGTGCTCACCTCGCAGAAAAGCTTCTGCTCCTCGGGACCACTTCCTCCAGAGGTCCTCGGCGGTGCCTGCGTCCTCCTCCTCCTCCTCCTCCTCCTCCTCCTCCTCCTCGCGGCTGTGGCACGTCCGCCAGCGCCGGGCTGCCTCACGCGCCTCCTCCTCCTTTTCCTCCTCTTCCTCGTGCTCAGCCCCACGTTCTCCTTCAGCAGCGGCATCGCCCTCCTCGGCCACGGGGCCTTGACTGCGAGGCGGCCGGGCGCTCGCGAGCCAGCCGTCGTCTTCATCGTCCATGTTGGCGCGTGGTCTGGTACTGACGCCATATCTCGCCGCGCGCCGCCAGGCCCAACCCTCAGTCTCCTCCTCGGCCCACACCTTGAGCCCCATCGTGACCAACCTGTGGTCCGCAATCCGGTCACGGTGCGCCACTGCCTCGCCGACAACCACGCCCTGGACCAGGAAGTAGTCATTCCTGGCATCGCTGCTTCCTGCCATCGTGGACGACTGCGGCACTGCAGGCTGCCACTGGCCATCCCCAGTCAAAACGCCGAGGATGCCCTCCGAGGCCTCCACATTCCAGTCGCCGCCGAGCACAGCTGCACCTCCGAGCCCGGCGAGGCACTCCCGCAGACCCAGGAGCAATCCTCGGCGCGCCTGGACCGGGCTGTTGCGCCGGAGATGCACGACCCCCACGTGCAGCATCTGCCTGCCACTGCGCACACGAAAGACCGCAACCTCTCCTCCTATCTCCCTCATCTGCCACAGCCGTTCAGCTCTCCATGTGCCCCTCGTGGCGCACGCGAGGCCGCCGTAATTGTGCCAATCACGGCCATTCTTGCCCTGAGTCTCGTCTAGCACCGTGCCCTCTACGAGGTGCCAGCTCCTCCTTGCAGCCAGCCGCTGCGCCGTGCGCATTCCCTGCCTCGTGAGTTTGTGCTCCTGGACAAACAAGACGTCGGCACCGTGCGCGCCGGCTGCCTGGAAAGCCGCCAGGCCATGCTTAGACCAGCTGGCGACATTGATAGTCCCCAGAAGGACCCCCAGCGTTTCCAGCTCCTCGCTGCGCCCCAGCTGTCCTGCCGTCTCCTGCTGCCCCTCTGCCTCCTCGCCAATTGGCCTCGTGCCTGTCTCCAGCACCTCCTCTGCTGCAATTCGCCTCCTGCTTGTCTCCTCCTCCTCCTCCTCCTCCTCCTTGTCTCGCCTCCTGCTTGTCTCAGGGACCACTGCCTCCTCCTTGTCTCAGGCTCCTCCTCCTCCTCCTCCTCAGGCTGGGACGTCCGCGCCGCGACCTCCCTGTCATGCCTTGGCGTGCCGATCGACGCTCAGCTCACCCTCGCCATCCAGCTGGGCCGGGCCTGCGCGCGGGTTCGCGATGGCGCGAGGAAACCCTTCGCGAGCATGACGGACTGGGGCTTCGGGCTGCCCGTGCAGGCGGGCCACCTTCCGGCGGGGGTGGAGGCATCGGCCCTCTACGGCGCCGAGCTTCTGGCGAGTCGCGCATTGGGCTGGCCGGCGTGCGCGCCCGGCTGAACCAGGTCTATTGCGACGTCGCGAAGGCGCTGCTGACGGGATCCACTGGCCTGGTGTCCTTGGGGCCAGGCGGGCACGCGCGCGCCTTCCTGGAGGTGCGCTTCCTCGCGAGGCTGGGCACCAAGGTCACCCGTCGCGTGATCATGGCGAGGGCCCGAGTGGCGCCCCTCCCCGCACCGTCCCCGACCCCCCCCCGTTCTCGAGGCGCTCGCCCGGCTGGCGGAGAGGCCGCATGGTTGGAGCACGCGGAGGCCGTGGCGAGCGAGCGAGGTGGGTATCTCGGCGTGGCCGACAGCCGCCCCCGCTGCGACGCCCGGCCAGCGCCGCCGCGCAGCCGCCGCCTGGGGCCGCGCCGTCGTCGGTCCCCGCTTGGAGGCGATGGGGTCGGATTAGTTTGCGGCGCAGGTAGGCCAGCTCGCGAACGACGGCCTCGTGTCTCTCGGGGACATCCTTCCGCTGCGGCAGCCGTGGTCGCGGGAGTGGCTCCAGGCGCGGTGGGGGCCTACCATGTGGCGTTTCCACAGGGCGTGGTGCACGGCGAGGGTCTCGTGTGTTGGATATGGATGCTCTGCGCTGGCGTTCTGTTTCCCGGCCCAGCTGTCGCTGCGGGCGCGCTGCTGGCTGCGCCGCGTGGTTGCCGAGGCAATCTGCTGAAAAACTCGCGCAATGGCAGACGGCCAAGACGGGGGGCGCGGGGGCCGGGAAACCCATCCATATTTACTGCTGCGTTATCAAGACATGCGGTATGTGATGTCGCCATGCTTTCCCGGCCCCCTTGCCGCAGCGAGCTTGCTGCTCAGCTAAACTCGCAATCCTGCGCCCAGTGGTGCACGTCCCCCGTCAGCCTGCCCGCGGCTACACACCGCGGGCACGGGAGGACGCACTTGTTCTTAAAAGTGTCGCGGCACTCTTTAAAAGTGCGCTCCAAAGCGCCTCTGCCGCTGTAGAAGCAGTTCTTGCACACCTCTCGGCTGACCTGGAGGGCGGCCTGTTTCAAGCCTTTCTCTTTGAAGCGATCGTCGAACCACTTCTGGAAAAACTGCGCGGACTTTCCCGGCGCGACAGCGGCAAGGCTGGCTTTCATCTGTCGCACCAACTCCTTGCGACCAGGGGCTGGCGGCGTCCCCGGAGCTGCCAAGGGCGCGTCCGCCGGAGGGCCCGCCGCCGGAACGTTGGACCAGCGGTTAGCCCTCGCCCCGGAGCTGGCGCGGGGGTCGGACCCCGCCGCTCCGCTCTGGTTGTGGCCCGCGGGCGCGGTTGTGCCCGGCGGGTCACCCAGGCGCCGCGCTTTCAAAGCGGACTGCGGCGAGTCGGCGCCGAGTCGGTTCAGGTCGTTCGCGCGGCTCTGGCCGGCAGCCGCGCTCAGGAGCGCAACCTCCCCGAACGCCAAGTCGAGGCCGAAGTCCTTCAGGGGGGTCTCGTGGTCGAATGCCCGGGCCGCACTCGGTTTGAGAGTGCGTTTTTTTGAAAGCCTTGATGGCGTAGTAGACCCACTCCATGACCGTCGCCCGCTGGGCCTCGGCCTTGGCAGCGTTGGCCTGGGCGCCGGTAAGGACAGACGTGTACCTCTTCTCCGTGAGACGGTAAAGCACCAAGACGCAGCGGCTGAGGGCGCGGATGTTCTGGCCCCTGCCGGCATCGGCTCGCTCTCCGAGGTGGCACTTGAACTTCTCGCTGGACCCGCCCCGCCCCGGGAGGCGCAAATCTTTCCATTTCGTACGAGCCGCGTGCTTCATCGCGACGCGGGTCTTTAGAGCCTCGAGTTCCTTGTTCTCTGGGTGTGCCGCGCTCAACCCTCGCAGGCTAGCTGCGGGGTTCCCAGACTTCTCGATGGCCTCCCCGGCTGCCTCGACACTGTCAGGGTCGACCGTGAGCGCCTCCCACGTCGCTCTCCATTGCGCAACCGCGAGGTTCCGCAAGACGGCCCGCCATGGGTATTCTTCGTCAGCCGCCCTGTTGTACTCGTTGGTGAACGCCGCGTGGACGGCGCCTCCAGGTTTGGCCGACTCTTCGACGGCTGCGTACACGGTCCCGCCTGGGAGGGGCGCGGTGCTGAGCTGCTCTGTAACCCTTTCCACGACGGAATTGTAGATTGCGCCCCCCGGCTGCGTCTCAGCCTTGATTGCTTCCGCAATCAGTGTCTTGACCTGTTCATCGGAAGCCATACCTTGGAAAAGGTGGGGGGCCGAGGTGTGCGTGGGCGAGCTGGCCGGCGCGGTTGATCTTGGGGCTCGGGCCGAATGGCGTGGGACGCGGCGTCCTCCCAGATCCGCTATGCCTGTCCTCCCTTCTCTTGTCCCCCCTCCTCCGTGCTTCTCCAGCCCCTTACTTCCCCGTCCACTGTCATCGTCTGAAGAGGCCCCCGCAGAGTTAGGGCCAGATGCCAATGCGAGGGCGTGGCGAGACGGGGAGGGGGCAGGAGAGGGAAGGCAGGGGAGTGACGAGCCAGCGTGCCGAGTGGGAGGCGTGTGCGCGCGCGTGTGTGTGCGCGTGCGTGTGCGATTATTTCCCAACCATCATGTGGTGTTGGGTCCTCGTTTTGAAGAGACGGTGCCCCGCGTCTCCTTTCCAACCTGCTTTGCGGTACTCGCAACTGCATATGGTTGGGTCCATCGCCAGGATTTGCTGTGTGCCTGCGCTCAGCGACTGCGAAGTCAGTGCAATCATCGGTTTCTCCTGGCTGGTTTCCAACTGGCCAGAACCGAATAGCGAAGGTCCGTGCGGGGCCCGCGCCGCACCTGACCCTCTGGAGAGAACCACCGGAAGATGTCCGAGCGGGGATCCCAGGAGCGGACCCGGTGCCAGGAAGACAGCGCGCCCGCGCGGAACCACGGAGCTCCTGCGCCGTCTGGCAGAAACAATAAAATCTCAAGGGGCGGGCGAACTTTTCGGGCAGACTTGAAAAAATCCAGGCACGCCTGGGCTAGGGCCCGTGGTGGGTGAGCCCAGACGACGTGACCCTCGAGGTTGCATTCGAAAGTCGTCAGTTCTGGGCATCGCCACTCTGCGGCTAGAGCGGACAGCCCGCGCCTGTCGGCAGAGAGGTCCAGCGTGCAAGTGACGTTGCATCTACTCTGCATTTCCTTATACAGATCCTTACGCAGGACAGCATCTTTGAAAGGATATTCGGCCCAGGCGGCTGCAAAACCCGAGTCCCGAGAGCCCCTGTCAGCCACGACCTTGGAGCGGCCTGGGAGGTGTGAAGCGAGTGCCCAGCACCCCGACGCGCGTTCGGCGTCTTCGAAGCATTGAGTCAAGTGTTCTACGTGTGGAAGGCGGCCGTATCTAATGTTCACGTGATGAATGGCACAAGTGTTGCCCATTCTGAAGACGATTCTCCAGCCACGGAAACGGGCCCATTCCCGACGCAAACATTCGGCTGCCACCCACAGTTCTTTGTAGTTGATGGCGTCGGCCGCTGAGAATTGCTCCTGCGTTGCAAAATCGCCGGGCCACGTGCCGGGCACTACCGCCCCCAAGTTGCACAGGTGGTAGCTCCACCCGTGGTCGCGTGAAGCGTCTGTCTCGATCACGTGCACCTTGCCGTCTGCTGCGAGCGCGCGCCAGTTCGCAAACTCGTGGGATTTGTGTCCCCATGACGACAAAGCGCCCCCCTCGCAGAAAAGGTGCCTGCACGGAGGTGTGGCGAAAGTGCGCGTCAACCACGCCAGAGCCTGCCGCGCGTTGTCGGACAGGCGTACTGGCGGGTCCGCGCGGGAGGAATTCTGCCACGCAGCGCACACCCCGGCGGAATTCAGGTCGGTCCAGATCGGATGCAGCCTGCGCCGGGCTTGCGGCAATAACTCCGCAAGATGGCCGGCGATCCCGGCGGCCGAGGCGAGTTGGCGACTACGCAGGGAACGGCCCGTGTCTGCCGCGAGCACCTCTTGGCAGACGCGCACAAGTTTGTCGCATTTCTCTTACGTAACTGTGACCACGGCATTAACCGCGTCGCAAGTCCAGCCGATCCACGTCTGGCGGGTCGCTGGCACTTTCACGCCCGAAGGCTTTGTGCTGACGGGCATGCCGCAAGATAACAGGAATTCAAGAGCGGTGTGCAGGTCGCGCCACGCCTCGGACCTCGACGTGGCTGCGCCGGAAAAGTCGTCGACGAAGTCTAAGAGGTCGACTCCCCTGTGCTGTTTGAGTAGTCGCAAGACGTCTTTGACGGAGGCATCGTTGATGCCAGGGGCACTTTTGAGGCCGAACGGGAGAAAGTTGAACTTTCCGAACTGCCGCGTGCCAGGGCGGTAAAAGCCGAGGAGAAGGGCGTCGACCTCGGCCACCTTCCAGTTGAAAAAACAGTCTTGGAGATCCAATACGAACATCCACGACGAGGACGTGAGGCGTTGCATCGCGTCCTCCAAGGTGCCGTACCGGACCCCGATCTCAGGGATATGTTCGTTGACCCGCCCCATGCGCAAATCAACGATGAGGCGCGCCTTAAATCGTTGCTTGTCCGGAGGATCGTCCGCAGCGCCCTCCCGCGGTTTCAGGAGAAACGCGCGCGGGTTCACGTTCAACCCCCCCCGGCCTAGGTTGGCCAGGCGGGTACAAAAACACCTTGCCAAGTTTTGCAGGGCGGTCGAACTCCTGCTCGGCCCACGGCTGGTGCTCCAGATACGACAGATGGTTCCTCGCTTGCTTGGGTTGAACCCCTGGTGCGTCGAGCTGCACACCGTCTACCCACTGAGTGAGGAACTTTGGAGCCGCCCCGCAGTCTGCCAGGAAGTCGAGTCGAAGTGTCAGACCGGGGGTGTTCTGCCACCAGCGCAGCGCATCATTGGTATCACGGATGCTGTGGAGCAAGGGTTCCGCGTTGAGCTGCGTGCTTGAGCCACTAGCTGGAAGGTCCATGATGCCGCAAGCCAAATGGCTTCGGAGGTGGGAGGGAGGGGGGGGGGAGGGGTTGGAGGGCCCCTCTGCTCCTGAAGGGATGGTTCGAAAGCCCGAAGGGGCAGGAGCCGCCACCGCCAATCTTCCGCGACCGTGCCTCTGAAGTTGCGCCGGCATTCTGCGGGTGCACTCTCCGCCAGCTACTTCGCAGTCCGTCGTGGGACTGATCCCGTCGTCCTCTCGTCTGAACGGCGTGTGAGCCTCCTCCTGTTCCTCTTCCCCCATGGGGGGGTGGGGGGGTGAGGAGAGGGTGGTTGGTAGGGGAGGAGTCGGCGCTGCTGTGCCGGTGAGAAGAAGGCAGCCCGGGTTGGCGAGCCGCTGCGTCGTCCCGGAAGGCGGGCACCTGAGTTTGGACCCCCCTCTGGTTGGCGCCGTTAGGCCCCCCGGGCGGCCGGCCCCATGTACCCCCTCGAGTTGCAGTTGTGCCATCGGCTGCGCGGGGACGGCGAACGCCCCCACCGCGGAGCTGCCACGGCGCCTGCGCCACAAAACACGTGTACGGATCCAGCCGACGACCGAAGAGGACAAGGATAGGATGTTGCGTGCGCCCAACCCCGAAGCCCCTTTCCCGAAAGCAAGCCCCCTTAGAAAGACGCCATCGTGGCGTGGGGGGGCCCAAGAACTGAGGCTCCATGGGGTGTGAGTGTCGGGGCGCGGTGGGGGCGCACTGGGGGGCGCAGTGGGAGGTGTCGGTCGTTTTTGGACGAGAAATCGTGGTGTGGGGGGTCCAAGAACTGAGGCTCCAAGGGGCGTGGGGGTCGGGGCGCGGTGGGGGGCGCGGTGGGGGGGTCCAAGAACTGATGCTCCATGGGGTGTGGGTGTCGGGGCGCGGTGGGGGGCGCGGTAGGGGGTGTCGGTCGTTTTTGGACGAGAAATCGTGGTGTGGGGGGGGTGCATGAGCTGAGGCTCCATGGGGTGTGGGTGTCGGGGCGCGGTGGGGGCGCGGTGGGGGGCGCGGTGGGGGGCGTCGGTCGTTTGTGGACGAGAAGTCGTGGTGTGGGGGGGTCAAGAACTGAGGCTCCATGGGGTGTGGGTGTCGGGGCGCGGTGGGGGCGCGGTGGGAGGTGTCGGTCGTTTTTGGACGAGAAATCGTGGTGTGGGGGGGTCCAAGAACTGAGGCTCCATGGGGTGTGGGTGTCGGGGCGCGGTGGGGGCGCGGTGGGGGGTGTCGGTCGTTTTTGGACGAGAAATCGTGGTGTGGGGGGGTCCAAGAACTGAGGCTCCATGGGGTGTGGGTATCGGAGCGCCCCGGCCTCCTGTGGGGCAGACGTCTTTCCAGCATCGCTCCAGAGGGCGGCCCTCCCCCCCGTTTCTCCCCTCCCTCGCCGTGCGTTCTGCTTGGACCAGCCAAAGAGCCCGCGATGCTGCCGACTCGTACCTCCTCCCCCCCGTTTCTCCCCTCCCTCCCTCGCCGTGCGTTCTCTTGTGACCAGCCAGAGAGCCCGCGACGCTGCCGAGCCGCCCCTCGACCGCGACGCCCCGCAACTGCTGTTGCCCACCTCCTCTCCAGGCCGCGGGCGCCCGGGGCGCACCAAAGTGGCCACGTCCTGTGTCCGGCAGGCGCGCCGCCGCGTGGCCGAGCGGCGTGGAGGGCTCCTCGCCCGCGGAGGAGGATCGCGCGCTTCGGCAGCTGCCCGCGTTCGTGGAAGAGCTCACCGGCGTGCTGCGCAAGGCGTGGCAGCTCGCCCGCATCCGCGGCCGCGACCTGGAGCGCCTCGCGGGGGAGCCTGGCGGCCGCGTCGGGCAGACGCGCCCGCCTCGGCCCACTGCTCTGCGGCCTCCGCGAGCGTGCACCGAGCGACCCCCCAAAAGCGCACCTCCGGGAGCCGGGGCCGTCCGCGCACGCGAGGGCGAGGCGGGGCAGCCGCGGGAGCCGCCCCCGCCCAGCCTGCGGGGCCGCCGCTGCGGCCTCCTGCCGCGCGGGCGGGTGGGCACGCCTCTGCCCCCCCCCCCGCCGTCTCCTCCCATCCAGTTGGGCGTTCGCTCGCTGTCCTTGCCTTCCCCCTCCCTCCTTCCCTCTCCCTCCCCCCCCTCCTCGTGGGAGCCAGGGTGCCGGCGTGCTGGTGTGTGGTCGGGCCACGCCGCTCGGCCAGGAGGAACATGTTGGGGGCCTCTCTGCTCGAGCGTTCCCGGCAGTGTAGCCACAGTGAGAATACAGGCCATGGGTTCTCTGTCCCGGCCGCGTGGCCGACAGCGCTTGCCGCAAACGTTTGGATTCGAACTGTGTCTTATTTGTACTCCCCCGCCCCTGCCCGCAGCTACTACAAGCTTTTGAAGCCGCGCGCTGCGCGCGACCGGCACGAGGCTGTAAGATCCACGCGTGTCAGCAGCACTTTTTGTGGCTGCCCCGTCGTCCCCGCTTCGTTCCTTCCTCCCTCTTGCCCTCCCCCCGGTCGAAGGCACATGCATGTTTAGTTTGTCTTGTCATGCGCGGTGCATGCTCGGATAACCTTCGAAGTGTAAAGAGATGTTTTTTTTTCTGCCGGGCCGGGGCGGCGGTGGCTAGGTGGTGGCTTTGGGGTGGGTGGTGGGTGGCCGTCCCCGCAGGTCTGGAGGATCTCGATTGGCGCTAGGGCGCGATCCTGGGGAGTTGGGCTGGGAGGTCCGCTCGCCATTGCGGCTTTCGGCCGTCCACCTGCTCCTCGGGGGCCCAATCAATGCCGAAATCCGACGAGCTCACCTTTATGATGCACTCTGCTGGGGTATAGCGGCCTCTTCCTCCTCCCTGCCTCCTCCCCCCCTCTTTGCTTCAAGGTTGTGCTTTGTGGAGGCGGCCGTTGAGGCCCTCAGGGGCTCACATACTTTCGTTGTTCTCCTCCTCCTTGTCTCCCCCTCTTTGCTGCCTCCTCCTCCTCCCGCGTTGCCTCTTCAGCTCAGCTGAATCCGGCGGGACCGCCGACATCCTCTCGAGGCCGCTCGCGTGGCAGGTGGTAAGCTCCACCGACTTTTGGTTTCTTCGAGCTTTGCTCGGGGCTGTTTTCTCCTGTGGTCTGCAAGGCAGGCCATGCTCCAGCGGGTGTTCACAGGATGTTCGGTGGATCGCTGCCCGTTCGATTGCTCGGCACACCTCGAGGTAGACGTGAGCTTCTTGTCGAATTCTCTTGTATTTCTCGTTCCATCCACTCACTTGCACTCGGATTGTTAGAGTTGCTGGAGCTGCATGTGCTGCTCGCGGGGACCCCCCAGGACTCCTATAGATTCCTATAGTTTCCGATGGATTCCTACAGATCGTGTTCCCAGAACACCATTCCCAGGCAACATTTTGACTGCCCAGAGCCAACTGTAGGCCACTTCGTGTTCTTCGTCTTCCCAGTACACCATTTCTGTACCATTTTTTGATTGCCCGGAGCCAACTGTAGGCCTTTTCGTGTTCTTCGTGTTCCCAGTACACCATTTCTGTACCATATTTTGCTTGCCCGGAGACAACTGTGGACCACTTCGTGATCTTCGTGTTCCCAGAGCACAAGTCCTGTGCCATATTTTGAATACCCGAGCTGAGGCAGGCTGAGGCCGAGGCAGGCTGAGGCCGAGGCAGGCTGAGGCTGAGGCTGAGGCACGCCGAGGCAGGCTGAGGCTGAGGCTGAGGAGGCAGGCTGAGGCTGAGGCTGAGGCTGAGGCTGAGGCTGAGGCTGAGGCTGAGGCTGAGGCCTGAGGCTGAGGCAGGCAGGCTGAGGCTGAGGCAGGCCGAGGCAGGCTGAGGCTGAGGCTGAAGCTGAGGCAGGCTGAGGCTGTGCTGAGGCAAGCTGCTGCAGGCTGAGGCTGAGGCTGAGGGCTGAGGCTGAGGCTGAGGCAGGCTGAGGCTGAGGCTGAGGCAGGCTGATGCTGAGGCAGGCTGAGGCTGAGGCTGATGCAGGCTGAGGCTGAGGCAGGCTGAGGCTGAGGCCGAGGCTGAAGGCAGACTGAGGCTGAGGCTGAAGCAGGCTGAGGCTGAGGCTGAGGCAGGCTGAGGCTGAGGCTGAGGCTGAGAGGCTGAGGCTGAGGCTGAGGCTGAGGCTGAGCAGGCTGAGGCTGAGGCAGGCTGAGGCTGAGGCTAAGCTGCTGAGGCCGAGGCAGGCTGAGGCTGAGGCAGGCCGGCAGGCTGAGGCTGAGGCTGAAGCTGAGGCAGGCTGAGGCTGAGGCTGAGGCTGAGGCTGAGGCTGCTGCGGCTGAGGCAGGCTGAGGCTGAGGCAGGCTGAGGCTGAGAGGCTGAGGCTGAGCTGAGGCTGAGGCTGAGGCTGAGGCCGAGGCAGGCTGAGGCTGAGGCCGAGGCAAGCCGAGGCAGGCTGAGGCTGAGGCTGATGCCGAGGCAGGCTGAGGCTGAGACAGGCTGAGGCTGAGGCTGAGGCAGGCTGAGGCTGAGGCAGGCTGAGGCTGAGGCCGATGCAGGCTCAGGTAGGAATCCTTAGGAATCCCTAGGACTCCAGATTCCGAAGGATTCCTAAGGTTTCCTGAGGATTCCTATGGAGTCCTAAGGATGCCTAAGGATACCTTAGGAATCCCTAGGAATCCTTAGGATTCCATTGGATCCTAAGGCCGTTGCCACTGCGACTGTCATTGCGAATGCGACTGCGACTGCGAGAACAGCAGAATCCTACAACTGTATTCTCACCTGAATCTGAAGGGGAATGCTTCCAGATATGCTTATACACATCGCTGTTAGGTTGCTTTGCCGGGATAGTTTTTATCTGGTATGGCGTCACTGTGCTTCCCCCGAGCGGCCTT